TATAAGATAGTTCATAAACAATACTAGAACGTTATTAATTATTAAAAACTCGAAGAAAAAACTAGTAACGAACAGATGACAAAACGAAAATTAAAATTTGTTTAATAATAAATGTAAAAATAAATAAAAATAAAAAAAAAAAGAGAAAATGGTAAAAGTACAATGTTCGATGTGCAATTGAAACGTAAAAGCTACAACTTTACAGGGTATACAAAAGGGAAGAGTATACAAATAGTTCATTAAATACAAGTGGCCGGGCTAAGTGTGTGCGTGTGTGGATGTGAATGCGCATGAATACTAATGAGCTGTTCTATAAGTGTAAAATTCATTGATGACTGTTGCTGGCTCTACCTCTCCATCTCTCTTTCAAGGTATTCGTGTGTGTGAGTGTGAGTGCCACCGGAAGGTATTAGTAACTGCCACAAAAATCTCTCTATCTCTCTCTCTCTCTCTCTGAGTGTGTGTCTGTGTGTATGTGTTGCTCTCTCTTTCGCTCGCTCTCTCTCTCTGTGCATGATCCTCTCTAGCTTTAGAGCATATGACGATTGTGCGCCAATGCATTCAGATCCTGTGGAGTCACATATCCACCAATATTTGGCTGCAATCTTTGCGGCGTTTGCTGCGACTGCTGTGCCGTTGACGCAGCAGCCGTTGCAGCCGTTGGCTTGATCAAGCCATTCCGCTGCAATTGCTCCATGGCCGTATAGCCGAAGCCGTTGGGCATCATCAGCGGCGTGGCAGCTGGCGTTGTCGGCATAGCGGGTCCAGTCACTCCACTCATTGGCGCTAGCGGCTTCAGCTTGTGTAGATCAGCCGCCTGCACATAGTTGCTCGTATTGAGCAGGTGCATCGGCGCTTGTGTTGCCGCCGTGGCTGCTGCTGCTGCTGCCGGAGCCGTAGCAGCGGGCGCATTTGTTGGCCGCGACTGCAGCACCTGAACAGGGACGTAGCCACTTAGGGGCATACTTAACTGTCCATTGGCTGTGCTGGGCAATGTGTTGGCCATGCTGCTCGGCGTTGTCCAGTTCTTCATTTGCGTGGGCTTTATATAGCCACCAGCATTTGGATTTGGATTTGGATTTGAGTTTGCATTTAGATTTGGATTCGCTTGGCTGCTTGGCTGCAGCTCCGTGGCGCCCATTTGGCTATCGTCGTCAAGCAGCAGTCCTTGGCTCATCGACATGTAGCTGGATGGTGGCAACGTTGTCAACGTCCGCTCCTCATACGCATCCCGTTGCTCGAGCATACCGCCGCTCGAGCTGTTGGCTAAAAGCAGCTTGGAGCTCTCGTTGCCGCTGCTGAAATCTTGTGGCAAATCGTGTTGCGAATAATGCGGCAGATCGAGTCGTGTTGCAATGATGCCGATACCGCCTCCCCCGCCGGCACTGCCACTAGTGCCGCCCCCAATGGAGCCATGGTCGATGGGTTTCTTGCGGGTCTCATCAATGCCCGGTGGGAGCACCAGATCGATGTCAGACATCTTCAATAGCTTGCGATAGGCCATGTATGCGAATGCACAAAAGAAGATGATAGAGGTAGCCACCTCCACGGAAGTAACGAACACCTTGAAATTGTTCTGACCCGGCGAGCAGCTCACATCATGGGTGGTCCATGCGGATTTGTACAATCGATAGAGACTCGAATTGAGATAGTTTTGTATGTCGCTCCATTCGCTATCCGTCAATGGGGGCTGAGCATCGCATTTTTGGCTTTGCATTGATTGACGAGTAAACGTCTTGTCCACATGCGTTAATAGCATTGGATCCAATATCTCCGCATTTACAGCTCGCACCTTGTAAGTGAAACGGTGCAGCGGAGTACAAAGCGGCGTCTTCATTACACAGGTGAGATTTGGACGTGCGCTCACATAACTGAATGGTTGACCAATAATTGTATTATTAGCATTCCTCTCAATTATGACCACCTCATAGAACTCCAATCGTCCAGCCGGAAACGATGGCGGCTTCCACTCCAGCACCGTGCTCCACGGTGAATTCTCCACATGTAGCTTAGACGGTGGCGAGGGCACTGCAAATTAAATAACAATTAGTTATATTTACATATTTATTAAAATGTAAATACTGCAAATAATCATTTAATTTCAATTCACTGAACGATCAGTGAACGAAATGTTCGCAATCATTTTTATCGATAGTGAACGATTCGTTCTGTTGAGCTTCTGTTAAGATGAGCGAACCGTTTATGAGGTTCGCTGATTAATGTTAATGGCAGGACTCAACAGCACGATATATCGGTTCAGCTATTCTGAAACGATACTTTGATACGCTGAATTGTTTAAATAATCAGAGAAATGGCAGATAACTGCAATTGAATTCATTTCTAACCGAACTGGCGATTTGAAAATTTGCAAATTAAATTTAGAGAACATAATTTGAGCACTTACATCCGACCGCTGTCCTGAAGCGTATCATATTGCTTGGCTCCGAGTAGTGTATGGTCTTTGCGCGCAAACTGATCTCATATTCCGTGTAGGCAGTCAAGTTGTTTAATACATAGTGCTTCTCATTGTTGACCAGCTCGGCGGTTAAGGTGGGCACATCAAAGTAATTGGTAGTATTGTCATGAGTTATGCTGCCCCGGTATTCGACCAGCATGCCATTCGCCTTGATCGGTTGCTTCCACGCGAGATGCACACTCGAGTTGGTCACATTCAAATACATTAGCTGGCGCGGCGGAGTGGGTGCACCCTGGGCTGTACGCTGGAACAGCTCATCGCTGTATTTGCTGGCACGCTTCGGCGAATACATGGACATCTTGATCGTGTAGAAGGTATAGGGCTCTAGATTCATTATTTTATAGGATGTCGCATCTTTGGGCAGCTCCATGGTTGTACAGTTATCCGGCCTGCCGTCCGATCGCTTGCAATAGGTCAGATTGTAGCCACTTAAGATCGCCGCACAGACACCTTCGGTGCCCCATTTAACGGTAATAGATGTGTCGGTCAATTCACCAATGGCTGGATCCATCTTGGCCAGATCATCGTTACCATCGCCCGTACAGGTCACCCAATGCATGCCCGTATTCCGACCAACAAAGTTCGCCGATACAGCCATATTCAACGATGGCGATTGTCCACTGGCCGTGCTATACTCCAAGCGATCCGGAGAGACATGCTCGAAGTGAATGGTGCCATTGCACTTGGACAGGAGTGCTGGCTTTGCATTGCACCAGAACACCGTATAATCGATCAATCCCGAGGTGTTCTTCGGTGGCTTCCAACCAAGCGTGTAGCTAGAATTGCTCGAATGATAGACACCCTGTATTTTCAAAGGCATACGCAGCCGCCTATCCTCGCTACTGATGCTAGGTATATAGAGCCGGCTCGCCTCCAAAGAAGTGCCCATGATGTTGCTGCTCCGTATGAAGACCTCGTAATGTGCATC